ACTTCTTTTCCAAGTGAATATTCAGCATGAAAAGATGTAGAGTGGGCCTTGATTCATCAAATTTAATATATTTTTGTGCTAAAGATGAGTAACAGGAAAAGGACATACATTCCAGAATTGAGTGATTTATGATGTCAACCAGAACAAAAGTCATTTTTGATATTTTAAAGCTGCAGTCCATGACTTTTTTTTGTTAAAATGATCCAAAATAAATTTTTGAGCAAGTACAAAGCCAGCCAGTGTTCAAAACTATCTCCTTACCTAAGCCCGATTCACAACAGTAAGCTTATAATAATGTGTTCTAATATGAGTGATATACTGGTAGGAATTCACGGGATATTCGAGCATGCCGCCGCGTCATTATGTCACATCTGTAAACATAAAGAAGTTGTCCCGGCTAATAGGCTATATCGCATGTGATGATGCTGCAGGTGGCGGATCGTTTATAGCCTTTTCTCACAGCAGCTGGAATAATTCAACTGATCATTTTGATGGCGGATTGTAATCCATAAAAGATTATGTGTTTATGAAACATGTAGCCTAAGTGATTGAAATTAGATTATATTCTAGTTTTAAATGTGCATCTGATTACAGATAGCCTACGTGGGATTACACAAACTTCCCGTTCTAAGGAAGAATCATTTGCTTTTTGTGTTGAAAGAAGATTCGAATGGTACGACAATGGTAATGACTGTACAGAAACTGAAATCTACATGTAATGCTAATACACACACATAGTCACGCAATGCTGATGTTTTTTGAGAACAAAGTATAACAAAAATAATTTGCACGGTTTGATGTGATATGAGCTAACCGATTGTTAGCGCAATTTATTGTAATGCTTTTTTCCCCTCAGTTGGTCAGAACAAAAGTGGCAGACTTGTTACTTACTCGTTCAGATGACAATAACAGGTGAAAATTCTTATTTGGGTCATACTCCAAAGGCTAGAATGATTCCTAAGTACAGTGTCCAAACCAGTGCGGTGTCTGACAGCCACACATACTCCCTTAAAAACATTAGATTCATCCGCTCTGGAGCCGTGCCGGTGCACCACGTAATTAAAATAATTCTGCAAATAACTGCAGTTGCAGGTTTCAAACAGAGATGGCGGCAAAGAGGTAAAACCTACAGACTGCAGCTTTAATGAAACATTACAACGGCAACACGCACCAATAATTCAAGCACAATAAGACCACATGTAAACGCAAATGTGACTGTGGTGATTTCACAACAAAACTCTGTTTAAGAGTCAACCAACGGCGTGAGTTTATGTCAGGGTTCATCTGTGTTTGTTTTGGTTTTGGATGGTTGGCACATGACCTAGTTTTCAGTTAGTTTCCTCGGCTACACGATGTTTAATTTTGCACACCTGCTGTTCATTTCTTTGATTGGTGTAGTCTGCCTATTTAAAGGGACAGTTCACCCAAAAATGAAAATTCTATCATTAATTACTCACCCTCATGTCGTTCCAAACCCGTAAGACCTTCGTTCATCTTCAGAATACAAATTAAGATATGCGCGTGTATTCTTCTGCTCGTAAACAAGGCGCAGCGCATGCGTGTTCTGCGTCAGCATAATGGCACCAGGGTGACGCAGAGGAGAAGAATTGTTGAATAATGTCATTATTTTTGTTTTCTTTGCACACAAAAAAGTATTCTGGTAGCTTCATAAAATTACGGTTGAACCACAGATGTCACATGGACCATTTTAACGATGTCCTTACAACGTTTCTTTGCCTTGATTTTGGTAGGACCCTTGCTGACCCTTTCTGCAGGGTCAGAAAGTTCTCGGATTTCATCAAACATATCTTAATTTGTGTTCCGAAGATGAACGAAGGTCTTATGGGTTTGGAACGACATGAGGGTGAGTAATTAATGACAGAATTTTCATTTTTGGGTGAACTATCCCTTTAAGTACTGTGTTTAGTAAAACATGAACACACTAGAGCTGCTTCATAGTCATAACTGAACAGCTTAACTGCTGTTTTCTCACTACTGTCGTTTTTGTTGTGTTTATTTTGCTATTGAGAGGAAAGCGCACAGCACATACTTACATATTCATTTGGATGGTGTTGGGATGTTCGATAAGAGTAGGCTAAGCGAAAAATGACAAAAAGCATGGTCATTAGTATACTGGGGTCTTAGGTAATAAACTTTGGTTTGGGTAACTCTATATTAAGTTTCTCGTGACAGTTCTTTCAAATCTGTGTTAGCAAACTAGACACAGTGACATAAGTCAGTGGATAGTGGAACAATCTCTCTTTAGTGGCAATGAGGAAATGCAAGACCTGGGTCTGTTTGCATAAACTGCTTAGACTAGTCTTAAAAAGTTAGTCATCTAATTTGCTTTCTTCAAGACTGGTCATAACTTTTCAAAGGTCAGACACAAAAAGGTAGACTGGCCTAATTTGAATCAGAAAAGTAAGACTGATAACTTCTTGGCTAACTGCTAGTTGGTAAAACTAGTTATTAAGACTTAACATAGTGGCTATGTGACTAGCCCCTGAAACATCTAGAGCCTAATCTACACAGGAACTTTAAATGGCAGGGGAAAACAATTGGCAGCCAATACCTAATAACAGTGTGTGTGTGTGTGTGTGTGTGTGTGTGTGTGTGTGTGTGTGTGTGTGTTTCGAAAGGGGAAAAAAGGAGGTTCTTCAAAAAGCCAGTGTTAGCCAACCCAGAATCTACAAATATGTCCCACTCTTTTTCCTGATTTTAAAAAGAAAAGAAATATTCAGAATCTTTCATACATTCTGCTTTGACCAAGGAGGCTTTTATCTTGATCCCATTAGCATTTTTGGCACTGGAGCAATTTACATTTTTATAGCATAATTAATGAACAAGAAAGTCATTTACATTTTTCCTCTGTTCACTGCCACACTGTGTGGAGAATACTTTATTTCAGGGGCCAGTATTTGGGAATTTGGACAGTGTGTGAAGGAAAGGGAATGGCACGGTGAGAGGATGAATAACCCGTTCTGCTTTAAAATCCAGTGCAGGGCAGACGTTCCTCTTTCAGGTGCAAATGGAAGGTAATGTGTACGACACATCGGTTGGCTCTCGCATCAAACAGAAGGCGGTATTCAAGCACTAATTAAGCCATTTAAACATCTCGAAAAATTCATACATGTATTCCTCAGACAAGCAATTGGCTATTATATTTATCATCTTGTGGGTAAGATGTTGTAATATTCTTATAAATGTATCATTCAAATATTATTTACTTTACCTGATGAATTCTTATGTTGATAAGCATATTGTAAAGCAGTAGATTGCAAAGTTCAAGTAAAAGGAGTAGTTTGCCTAAGAATGAAAATTTGCTGGAAATGTACTCACCCTCAGACCATCCGAGATGTAGATGAGATTGTTTCTTCATCAGGGGCCGGTTGCATAAACTGTTTGGACTAGTCTTAAAAATTTAGTCACCTCATTTTTTTTTTCTTCAAGACTGGTCATAACTTTTTTAATTCAGTTATGAAAAGGTTGATTGTTCTTATTTGTATTGGAAAAGTAAGACTGATTCTTGGCAACTGCTAGTTGGTCAAACTAGTTCTTAAGACACAGTCTTAACATGGTGGCTAAGTTTATGCAACTGGCCCCAGATTTGGAGAAATGTAGCATTGCATCACCTGCTCACTAGTGGATCCACAGTGAATGGGTGCCGTCAGAAAGAGTCTAGTCTATTAATTTTGACCCGTAAATGGTGCTTGATCTGTGCATATTCCTCTCATGATTCAGACAAGACAACTTTTTCATGGGAGGAAGCACTATTATGGACTAGTATTAGTATTTTGGCCAGATTATGAAATTCAGCTTAATGATGGATTTGTTTCTTACAAACACACAGCTTTTCGCATCACAAGATGTTAAAGGGATAGTTCACCCAAAAATGGTGATAATCTAACAGTTGGTGGTTGCCATTGACTTCCATAGTAGGAAAAAAAAATACTATGGAAGTCAATGGCAACCACCAACTGTTAGATTACCAGCAATCTTCAAAATATCTTCTTTTGTGTTCAACATAAGAAAGCAACTCATACAGGTTTGGAACGACATGAGGGTGCGTAAATGATGACAGAATTTTCATTTCTGGGTGAACTATTCCTTTAAAATGAATCACATCTTGTGAACTTCACAGGGCTCATTTTTATGCCTCGTGTGACAGGTCCATAAATATATTAATATTTCGTTAGATGTTACCTCAGGACATAGGTGAGTCCGCCTAAAGGAAGTGTCACATGTGAGACAATTTTTTTTTACTGACTTTATTCTCAAAAAGAATAAAAACTGGTGCAGCACTTCTGTGTTAAATTATGATACGATATGACGTAACTAACATGACATTTGGTAAATGGTATTAGAGAGAGAATCCCTGCAGACATGGCATGTGAATACACATAATTGCCAAATACACCACTGCTATTTTCAGATACCTGTCGAAGACACTATAAAAATACAAAGAGAAATAGTGCTTTAAACTGTTTTTGCTATCTTAGAATATACCTCAAAGTCTATTGAGCACTACTAAAAACTATTGAACATTAGGCAGAATATTAATAGAAACAGGTCATTTAACTTATATTGACCTTTAGTGACCCCTCCAATAAGGGTATGTTGTCACACTTAATGTAAAATTTCAGATACATTCAAATAAAACAGTAAAACAATTATAAAACAAAGCAAATCATGAACAGACACAAATGTAGAATATAACATGAAAAATATTTCTCAGAAAAATATTTAATAATTATATATAGAAGTTTGTAGAAGCTTGTGATTTTCATTGTTAGTTTGTCGGTGTAGTAATATTGTGTTCACTTCTTATGACAAAATAAAATGATGTTGGCATCATTTTAAATAATAATCATTTTAAAACAAATTATAATATAATCAAGTGCAAACCACTGCTACATTTTTGGACTGCAGACCTTGTAGTTACTGATATATGGGACTTCCACGTGTGACAACTTGCCCCAGTCTCTCCAATGCAATGCATAAATCACATCATCTGTGTGTGACATGATCTCCATGAGCCCACATTACCACACTGTCATATGAAGCCTCCTACCCTTTTCAACGAGGACTTCATCTCATCAGGCTAACAGCTGAAGCAGAGAGGTGAAGGAGCAGAAGTCTGCTTCACAGACAGTCAGTCAGCCACACGCTGTGGCGCGCAACCGTGCGCTCGGTCACTCACTTCGCTCTCCGTGCGCGCAGCGGCAGCAGCACAGCACACACGCGTAACTGATGGAGCAGCTAGACGACGAACTGCTCGGCAACTGCGGCGGAATAACGAGCGAGAGCGAGAGCGAGAGCGAGAGCGAGACCACCATGAGCCTGGAGGAACCGCGCGCTCTGCCATGCTGAGCATCTCCCTCGCGCTCCTGCTGGCTCTGACCGCTCCCGTCCGCTGCGCCCACAGCTGGAGCGACGAGGACCTCCTGCTGCCGCCCATCAACTCCTCCGGGAGACTCCTGGCCAGCCTGGAGGTGGATGTGGGCTACTCCAAGAGATCCGTGGAGGAGCCCGAAGCCTCCTCGCAGTGCAACGTGAGCGTGGAGAGGCTCTCCACCAAACTCGTGGCGCGCTGGGACAGCAGCTTCGGCTTCCAGTGCGACGTGCTCATGTACACCACGAACAGCCACGGCAAGGCGTTCTTCTCCGCCGCCTTCAACCGGGCGATCTCGCCGGTCTACATCGAGCACCTGGGCGTCACGGGCGGCCAGCAGGAGTTCAGACTGTGCGTGGGATGCGGTCTGTCCCGGTACCGGAGATTCCGACGGGGCAGGTCAGAGGGTCAGCAGGCGGGCGACTCGGTGCACTTCTGCTGCGTGGACTTCGCTCTGGACGAGCTTAAGGGCGACCGGAGCTGGAGGCTCAACCGCAAGCCCATCGAATCCACTCTGGTGGCGTGTTTCATGACTTTAGTCATCATAATATGGAGCGTCGCTGCCCTCATATGGCCAGTTCCCATTATCGCGGGATTTCTGCCCAATGGAATGGAGCAGCGACGGCAGAGGTAATAGAACAGTACAGGATAGAATTCAAATGAGCATCTGTAGGCTAATATAGGATCCTAAACTAGTTGACTTGCCAAACATCCTATGCGTAGTGGCACACGTGTCATACATTTGCTTAAACCGTACTACTCTCGTGTTTGAAACTGCTATTATAGCTGCATCTCCTGATGGATGGAGGTATTTTATTAGATTTCATTTGTTTTTATAAATATGATTGTAATAGAAATACATTATATCATGTGCTATTCAGATGTCATTTCAAATGTTTGTAATGTTTTTATCTTATACGATTTCTAGTGTTTATTTAAAAATACGGAGTATGTCTCAGGACAAAAAGCTCTTTTAGGATGTTGCCATAAGGACAAGTTGGTTGGAACATTTATACGAAAACACTTGCAGAAATATTCCAATGGTTTTCAAATGTTTGAGGACAGATTTCTTGTGTTTGTATAAATAATAATAAAACGCGATTAGACGTTTCTTTAATGTGGAAGACTCGATTATAGCTTGAGAGACAACTTGACAGGCAATCCATTTGTAACAAATTTGTATACGGTTTATACTTAATAGATCTGTCATAACTGTTATTTGTAGTATCAATAAATGCATAAAATATTCCTTTGTGGAGGTGTTGTAGCAGAAGAGCAAGTCTCACTCTCTCTCTCTCTCTGTTAGTATTTCATATTAAGCATACAAAATAAAAAGTAATATAGCAGAAGGCAGCAAACATGCACCAATGGCTCAAATGGAGGATTGCCATGAATTTTATTAAATACTTGAAAAGTCATATTGTAATTTTGATGAAAGGGCATACAAAAATACATGGAAGTTCCTAAAAGGAGAAAAAAAAAAAACATTGAGATAAATAGAAGCCTTTAGCATTATATAGAAGTTGCTGTTAGCCCCACAGATTCAATCAGAAATGTATGAAATACAGAGTTTCGTGTAGTTTGCATGTTGCATTCAGGGTAATTCAAATAATATTTTGACGAGTATGAAGTATCGTGAGATGGTGCATACCCAACTGTGCACAAATCAGACAAACGGCCTAAAGACGAGTTTGAAAAAAACAAGAAAAAAAGAGTAAGGTTGTGGAAAACACTTTGTGTGGAAATGAATACACAAATACACATGTGAAGATGTCATTTGGTGGCACTGATTCAGATGAAAGATGACTTCTTTTCTAGCAATCACCATTCCAGAGTTATTAGCTAAGATGTGAAATAGCTTATTAGTACACAGCCTCATGTACGCTACCTTGAATCAGAATACAGGTTGATTGAAATGAAATTATTGAAATGACCAGAAAAAATGTGTCCCAATCAACCTGAATTCATGCCAAACGTCTGAAATTTGGAATTTTTTGTTGATTTGTACAACTGATTTTCATAATTTTGGTTAGCACTTGTCCTGAAGAACATACACCATTTTTTTTCTTGATCAAACTGTTGCAGAATTATGATAGATTTTCAGTTTTAGCGCCCCCTATTGACAGATTGTGACGTCATGTGGTGTGCATCTATGGCAAGCCGCTATGGGTATCATGTTTCATTAAGTTTGGGATTGCATTGAGAGAATATGTAAAAAAGTCAAAATGGGCGACGCCAGACTTTTTTACGCTTTGATAATATTCTTTTGATAACATTCTAAATAAGACATTATTAAAATGAAATAATGCCAATGGAGGGAGCAGGAATGAATAAAAACATAGTTTACATACATTACATGAGATAACAAATGCCTTTGGAATCACTGCCACAACTGTAATCATAATTCAACTCTGGACTGTAAGGATTATTGTCTTGTTGCATGCTGAATTTACTCACATGAATGAAGGAAAGCTGTGCTGGAACTGACCTCTACAATGACCTGTATTTCTGCCGTGACTCTCTTATAGTCCAGCTCTGCCTGAACAAACATCATCTCCACTGATCCTTCTAAAAGAGCGAGGTTTTAGAATAGGCTATATGTGTGCAAACGAATAAACTGATAATGTCCCACGGCGCCTCCCACAGGACAACTGTAAAGTGGTGTGTTTCCAGAGTCTTTAGTTCATCTCAGTCCAAACTAAACTAAGTATGAACGTATAAGAATGTTAAAGGGCATTCATTTGAGTGAATGTATGTTTTCTAGCTTTCAAATGCATTTGATGTGTTTTGATAGTACCCTTCTCCACTGCATTCACTACCATAGTGCCTTTTTTCTAGAGAATAGTCCAAATTATTTTTTGTGGAAATCAACATTACACACCAAGATAGTTGTTGCAACTAGCTGGTGTCTCTTACTTTCCCATTTGCCATGGTCTCGAAAAATATTGGCTTTTATTGCTCATTTCAGTGCATTTAGCAGAAAATATTACAAGTGCCAACTTCTTGAATAAAAAGACAAACACTAAACAGGCTTATGAATTTACCTTGCTCTAGATCATTATCTAAATACTGTGAGAGAATCGATGTTTTTTTTTTTAAGGTGAATTATAGCTCTTTGTTCATTTGTTTAATGTCAAGAAGGCTGGCAAAGATATTTCCATGTTAACACACTTTTTTTTTTTTAAATTTGTTACATTGTTCTGGGAAAAGAAAAGGGTCTCTTAAGTAGCCTATACTGACCAGCACTTAGGCCTACCTGTTTTGATGAATGAGGTTATAAAATTTGAGGCGGGACTAACACACTCAGTTGCGTTACTACACGCTGTTTACATGATAAGTAGGTAAATTAGTGTGCTTTCACGTCATTTTATTCTCTAGCTTATGTTTTTTAGGTGACACGAGGTCGTTTTTACGTGCTCTTTAACCATTTTCAGGCTTAGGCGGCATGGATGAGTAATGTCTGTCGCAAACCAGGAAGCCGCTTTCTTTTCTCTGAGGAACACTGAAGACTAATATCTACGGTCGATTTATTATGGACATTTTTAGCCCACTGTAAGGAGTTTTAATATTAAAAAGTCATGCCAATTTGGCGGTTCACGTGCTTTTCACTCTTTTTTGGGGTTTTCCTGTCGTCAGTCCCGGAGCTCACAGGTAACAGCCAGACCCACACGTGCAACACTTACCTGCACAGGTATTAGGCTAGCCTAGGCTACATCGATTTGATGTCCGGTAAATTGGGATTAATCTTTAACTCTTCTCAAATTTAAACGTAAATCTAGATCGACTGTTAAGTTAGCCTACACCGTTTTTAAGGAAATGGTCTTGAAATGGTTCCAGTTTACACAATTTGCTTTGATGTTTGGTCAGTATTTTAGTCATTTTTAAATGTCTTTTCACTTCAGAAATGAATTATAGCTTCGCTAAATTACAGGTTAACAATGTGCTCCATCTCCTGAGATTAAAAAAGTGACAGCAGGGTGTTGGATTTGTTGATTTATTGAATTTATATTGGCTAATGACACATTTCACTGGATGTTTCAAGCTCTTTTCCATACAGACACACACACAAAAAACACATTCAACACCTAACAACATTTAACTGCTGTTTTTGGGGTGCTCAAAATGCATTATTTTTTGTGCTTTTATAAGTAATTGTAGGCTATAATTTTGTCACTCACTATGTGAAAAGAGCTAAAGGTTACAGTGGTTAAAGTGTCTAAAATATATGTTTTTTTCCTTGTATAGTCATGCAGTTTAACCTAACATTTTGATGTTAAAAGTCTGTGCATCATTTCAGGTAGTGCAGAGCTCAATATTGCTGTTGAACTGGGCACAATCATACACATTGATACTAGTGCTCACACAAATACAAAGTGTAAAGTTTGCATCAGACAGGACACACAACAGTTGTGCCAGTCATCTGTGGTCCTCAGAAGTGACACGCTTTTGGATTTCAGCTGCTCACAGCCAGAGAATGTATTCACCGTACAGATCATCAGAGATAATGGTGAGAGCTGCCAGATAAAAAAAAAATATACTTTTTATTCTTTACATTTTCATTTATACATTGTGTATGTATGTATGT